GGAGGTCCACCTGAGGGACTTCGGCTCTCTATACTCGCAAAACCGAAAATCGAGTGTGTGAACATCCGGTCTCAGAATAAAACAGTTTCAAAATAAAACAGTGTATTCATTTTAAATTCCGGCACACATATTGATTTTTATTTCTTACACTAGCGGCTAGTTACCATCAGGTAAGTGAGGCGTTAAGCAGGTGGCAACATCCAGCTTTCCTGCCTAAACACTTCTAGGTCGAGGTTATGGATTTATGATTGCTTCACTGCACAGAGCATTTTTTTCTCCCTGATTCTGAAGACACGTTTGGGGCACACACACACACACACACACACACACACACACACACACACACACACGGAAACAAACCTCTTCATTTATGCAGGATGTATCTAGGAGGACAGGGCTTACAATAGCCTTCTACTGTTTCTGTTGTGTGTGTCAGGTGAACACATGTCCCCGTTCAGCCCCAGTTTCCCAGTGACAGACAGCACCGTGCTATGGAGTTACAGCCTGTCCTCATACATGCCGACACACGACTCTAAGGCCACAAACACACAAACACACAAAGCCGCCTGAGGGCTGAGGTTACAGTGACCTATTTAAAAGGTAGATTTGGTCACAATTACTGGCAAGACAGACTGATGAGGACACCACTATCATGCAAATTGGATGAGGACACATGAAACCCATTTCAGTAAAGGTTATTTTGATATAAACATGTAAGTGTATCAATAAAGGACAATTTTTTTTACCATTTGACTTCAGCCATGTTAGCACTCTGAAGCAACTGGGGATCATTGAGATGGACGCTAACTTTAGTATGCTAACCTGCTCAATATGATGACACTTCCACTGCTAATATTAAGCGGGATAAATTGTACCTTGTTCACCAACTTGGTTTAGCAAGCTAGCATGCTATACTGGCTTATTATTGTCATAAAAAAATACTAAGGCTGATGGGAATGTCGTTTTGTTTGCAGTTACAGTGGAGGCAACTAGGGTTGCTAGTGGAGCCTCGCAGCGGCGACAACTATTTGCGTGGCATAACCATAACCTATGCGCCCACTCCGAAAGGTGAGGCCACATGCAGTCTGCGTGATCGGCCTGCACATTTTGTATATGAAGAAAGAAATTATCTATATTTTTAATGGTAGGTTTATTTTAGCAGTGAGAGTAAGAATATCAAAAAGAAAATCCAGAAATGGACATTATATAAAAGGTAAAAATGTATTTGCATTTAACTGTGGGAAATAATTATTTGACCCCTTGCAGAACATGTCTTAGTACTTGCTGGAGAAACCCTTGTTGGACAGCACAGAGGTCAGAGGATTCTTGTAGTTGGTTTCCAGGTTTGTGCACGTCTCAGGAAGGATTGTG